GAAGCCTTGTTGGGATGGATGCCAGTGGGGAGTCCTAAATTATGAAAGGGAGGAGGAAGAGCGGGGGCAAGGACGTGATGCAGCGGCCTCTTGGGGGTGGGGGTGGGGCTGGGGCAGAAGCGCGAGGCCAAGGGAGGGAAAACTGGAGGGCCGGGAAGAGCCAGCGCGCCCAGGACCACATGTCCCCCACCTGCACGGTCGTTCTGTCCTCTGGGGAATGGGGAGCTAGTGAGGACTTCCGGCCATGGAGTCAGATTAGTGCTCCAGATGGAGGTGGCTTCTCTGCCTGGAAGCCAGTGAGGACGCCGTCCTGGCAGGCCTGGCCGGAGGCGGTGAGGGCCAGGACCCTCTCGGTCATGCAGGCCCTGGATCTCTTCCTCCCCTGTAGCTTCCCCAGGGGCCCTTTTATTACGTGTTTACTCCTTGGCCAGGTGAGGAAGAAAGACGCTGCCGTGAGCTTAGGCCTTCTCTTCTCATAAAGAATTCAGAGTACTGCACCCTCAGGTACACAAAAGTCACAGTTGCAAACTCAGAATCGTGTGAAGTTCCCTCACCAGTCGTAACTTCTACTAATTGTGAGGATCCTGGCAGGAACCGTATATGCGTGTCTTTTAAAAAATTTCTGGAAACTGAGATCATACCGTACTGTGTTTGTTTTGCACTTGTTAGTCCGTTTTGGACACCTTTCCTTTCTCACACACGAAGGCCTTCCCCAGTAAGGTGGCTGCACCACCAGTTACGTAGCCAGTGTTCTGTTCACGGATACTCGTGGGTTTTCCTGGTTATTGCCGTTGCCGGCCACCCCGGGAAGCACCCTTGTATTTGAGAACGTTTATGAGGAGGCGAACCCTCAGCGGTAGAATTGCCGGAATGGAGGGAACAGGCGTTTTTCATTTTTCATTTTCACTCACAGCCATCGCTAAGTGAAGAGGGCGACATCCTCTTAGCCGTTTCTCCAAATCACAATCCTGTAGACTGGACTCCTTCGATTAACCCAAAATGGCCCAGAAATCTACCATCCAGAGAGCTTTTTTTTTTAAATTAACAGTTGTTGGGGCACCTGTGTGGCTCAGTCGGTTAAGCATCTGACTTCGGCTCAGGTCATGATTTTGCGGTTCATGAGTTCAAGCCCCACGTCGGGCTCTGTGCTGACAGCTCAGAGCCTGGAGCTTACTTTGGATTCTGCGTCTCCTTCCCTCTCTCTCTGCCCCTCTCCCATTCGGTCTCTCTCTCTCTCTCTCGAAACTAAATAAATGTTAAAACAAAAAAATTAAAAAAAAAAAAAAAAAAAAACCCGCTACAGTTGTAGTGGCACCTAGGTGGCTCAGTCAGCTCTTGATTTCGGCTTAGGTCATGATCTCACGGTTCGCAAGTGAGGCCCCCGAGTCAGGCTCTGCGAGGACACCATGGAGCCTGCTTGGGATTTGCTCTCTCTCTCTCTCTCTCTCTCTCCCCCTCCCCCTCTCTTTGCCCCTCCCCGAGTCACGTGCGCACTTGCACACTCTGTTTCTCTCAAAACAAATAAACTTAAAAAAAATACATAAAGATTACTGTTGTAAAAAAAATTAAAACTTTCAGTTGTAGATAGATTCAAAGAGCAACCCACAGATACAAAGTGACAACTGGGCCTGTCCCTCCCCTCCTCCACCTCCCTCCCGGGTCCCCAAACTGTACCGCCCTCCATTTCATGACCATGCTGTCCTTTCTGTCAACAGTTCCCTCCCCAAGGGCACTCCGTGGTCTCCGGCTTTTTGCTGTTGCACTCAGAGCTGCACTGACCCTCTTTGTAAATGCCGTCTTGTAAACTCTTGAGAGTCTCTAGAGTAAATTTCTAGCACAGGGATATGTGAATTTAAAATTTGGATCACAACTAGCAAATTCAGAAAGAATGTGCCAGTGTGTGCTTTACCAGCAGTGTATTTGTGTCTTTCCCCCCGTATCCCTGCCCTCCGCATTCAGCTTTTTCACTGGGGCTGATCTGATAGGTCAGAGAGGATATGTCGTATTGATCCGTGTCTTGCATTATCACATAAGCATCTTTTCGTATGCAACTTGTTATGTCATTTGTATTTTTTCCCCCCCGCAAACTGCCCACTTCCTATTAGGTCGTGCCTCTTTTAATGTGCTCTTTGTACAGCGGGGAAGGTATGCCTTTGTCTGTCAAGTGTATTGTAAATATTTTCCCCAAGTTGTTCCTCTTCTTTTGCCTTTGTTCCTGGTTTTTGTTTGTTTGTTTGTTTTTGTCATTTGGAATCATACCATTTTCTGTGGGCAGATTTCGTAAGCCTTACCTTTATGGCTTCTGAATTTTGGTCCTTACTAGAAAGGCCTTCCCACTCTGATAAAACGATAAATATTGATCCCCTTTTCCTAGGACTTTTACGGTTTCATTTTTTACTTTCAGTTCTGTGAAGCTTCTGGAATTTATTTTGATGGAAAGAAGGGGGCCCTGCTTTTTCATCTTCCCACTTCTCTGACTGAATAT